TTTGCTGATTCTTAAGTTGATCTGTTTTGATTTCCTGACTTTGTAGTATGAAATTCTATGGTTGGAGACTGCTGTTTTTACTTTTTGGATCTGCCTCTGATGATATCAGACGCTGGCTGACCTCGTCTGACCTTAGGCAGCCTGTTCGAGGCTTCCAGACATCTGCTCTTTGTGGCTGTCTCCTTCATCTGTTAATCTATTCACTGTGCACTCAGCAGGCAGCTTAGACAGCACAGGGTGGGGTGGAATCCCTCCCGGGAGCAGGACTATTGGGTTTTTTGCTGCTGGGGCTGCTCAGGGGGAGTGGTCTCTGCCTGAGCAAGATGGCTGCTGCCGCATGGGGGATGAGTCAGCACCGAGATCCCGCCACCTACTCTCAGTTTTCTCCTCACAGCCTCCTTCCCCAGTCTCTCCTCAGGCGTCTCTAGCCCACTCTGCTCCCGCCTTTGCTGGATACCAGGGCAAGTGGCTGCACATAAACATTTTTGCGTTGGCCCCTTAAATAGTTCTTTGTGTCTCCAGCCGCCCGTCTCTGGCAGAGAGCAACCCTGCCGCTTTTCACAGCTGGCTGTTTTTTGTGCACTTTTTGGGCTCTGGTGCTGTGGGCTAGAGATCCCCACTTTTGGTTTAGACCCTGCTCTTCTCAGGGGGATCCAACTGGCCGTTTCAATATCCTTCTGGTGCTGCCGCCCGTGGGTGCCCTGCCCGCCTTCTCAGGTCTGTACCGCACTCCTGACCGGTTAGATTGTGCTAAGGCCGATTCTTCTGTGTCCGAGGTTACAAGGCTCCTCTCTCGTTATTGTTCAGTTGTTTGTTCCAGGTGATTTCTCCACCCTTTAGTTGTAATTCCACGTTGTTCCTGGGAGGAGGCCAGTGTGACGTCCACTCCTCCACCATCTTGAATCTCCCCTTTTCTAAAAATTTTGCAATTTTTGGATTTTGTTCATGTTTTCCTTCTTTAATTTCAAATTTTAAAATTTTCATCTTTTCTGTTTTCTCTCTCTCTTTTTTTTTTGTTATTCTTTTTAGGTTGTTCTTGTTTTTCCTTTCTGCTTTTCTTATTCTTTATTCCTTTTTAATTCTATATTTGATTTTTATTTGTATATAGGTTTTTGATATATATTTTTATTTATCATATATATATTGTTCCTTTTTTCCTCCTTCCTTTTTTTCGTTATTGTTTACATTTTGGTCTGCACCCGCACAACAGGCAACAGGCAGTAACCTCACAGCCCTCCAGAGGGCTCCCCAAACCCAAACAAGAAATGTCCCCAGAGTGCCCAGCTCAGGAGATCAAGGAGGCTGGATTACCAAATCCCACAGGACACCTACGACAAAAAGCCACCTCACAAAGTCTGAGAGTCATAGCAGATTATGTAACAAATTAAATAAAAAACCCCGCAATGCAGCAGCTAAAATGTAGAGACAAAGAAATGGGCCCTAAAAACAAAACAAAACAAAGAGACTCTCCAGGAAAAGAGATAAAACAAATGGAGTAAAGCAACTTATCAGACATAGAGTTCAAAGTAATGGTTATAAAGATGCTCAAGGAACTTAGGGAGAACCGCAAGAGCATGAAAAGAACATAGAAACCATAAAAAAGACCAGTCAGAAATAAAGAAAAGCATATCTGACATCAAGGATACACTGGAAGGAAAAACCCTGGCTGGTGTGTCTCAGTGGATTGAGTGTTGGCCTGCAAATCAAAGAGTCACTGGTTCAATTCCCAGCCAGGGCACATGCCTGGGTTGTAGGTCAGGTCCCCAGTGTGGGGCACACGGGAGGCAACCACACGTTGATGTTTTTTTTCTCTCTCTCTCTCTCCTTCCCTTCTCCTCTCTAAAAATAAAGAAATAAAACATTTTTAAAAAGAATACACTGGAAGGAATAAAAAGGAGGGTAGCTGAAGCAGAGGATGATGCCAGCGATTTAAAAGACAAGATAGAACAAAACATCCAATCTGAGCAGCAAAAGAAGAAAAGTCTTAGAAAAAAGAATGAGGGTAGCGTAAGGGAACTTTGGAACAACATGAAACATAACCATATCTGCATCATCGGGGTACCTGAAGGAGAAGAGAGTGAGCAAGGGATAGAGAACCTGTTCGATGAAATAATTGCAGAAAACATTCCTACGCTGGAGGAGGAAAAAGTCACAAATGTTCAGGAAGCACAGAGAGTCCCAGTGAAGATGAACCCCAAAAGACACACAGCAAGACCCATTATAAATAAAATGTTAAATTTTAAAAGCAAAGAGAGAACCTTAAAGGCAGCAAGAGAGAGAGAGTCAGTTACCTAGGAGGGACTTCCTGTATGGCTGTCAGCTGATTTTTCACCAGAAACGCTTCAGGCCAGAAGGGAGTGGCATGAAGTATTCGAAGTAATGAAAACAAGTATCTGAAACCAAGATTACTCTACCCAGCAACATTACCATTTAAAATGGAAGGCAAAATAGAGAGCTTCCAAAACAGATACAAATTAAAACCAAACCAAACCAAACCACCTAAAGGAGTTCATTACCTCCAAACTGTCATTGCAAGGAGTGTTAAGGGTAATTCTTTAAGAAGAAGAAAGAGAGAAAGAAATATAGCATAAAAATGGCCATAAATACGTACCTATCAATAATATCATTAAATATGAGTGGATTAAATGCCCCAATCATAAGAACATAGGGTAGCTGAATGGTTAAGTAAACAAGACCCATACATATGCTGTCTACCAGAGACCCACCTCAGAACTAAAGATTCACATAGGCTGAAAGTGAAGAGATGGAAAAAATATTCCAGGCAAAAGGAAACAAACAAACAAACAAACAAGCAAAAACTGGGGTAGCCGTAGTTCTCTCTGACAAAATAGACTTCAAAAGGATGGGCACTTGGGCTGTTTTCAGAATAAACAACACTGCTATGAACACAGGGGTGCCTCTATTCTTTCAGCTTCGTGTTCTGGGATTCTTAGAATTCAGTCCCAGAAGCGGGATGGCTGGGTCAAAAGGCAGCCCCACTTTTATTGTTTCTGAGGTCACTCCCTACTGGTTTCCGCAGGGGCTGCACCCGTCGGCATCCCCACCAACAGTGCGAGAGGGCTCCCCTTTCTCCACAGCCTCGTCACCCCGTGCTGTTTGCTGGTTTATTGGTGGTGGCCATTCCAGCAGGTGTGAGGTGATATCTCGTTGTGGCTTTAATTGGCATCTCTCTGATTTCTAATATATTGGTATCAAATAGGTCAGTGTTCCACTCTGATCTCTTTAAAGCCTGTACAAGATCGTTTCACCTTTAATATTAGAAACACGTGTGTTTTCCTGAGTTGTCTTGGTCTTTCAAGCTAAGATTTTTTATTGTTGTCCAAGCGCAGTTGCCCCAAGTTTTCCTCCTTTGCCCTCCCTCACCCACCTAACACCCTGCTCCCACAGTGTGATTAATGTTTTCAGAACTGAATTTTCGACTTTGTGTCTTTCTCTCTGTTTTTGTTTGTCCTCAACAGTAACGTCTCCTGTGATGACCATTTCCCTCCTCACACCGTCATGTAGAAAAAGTTGTTACTCTTTTACAATTATTTTGAGGAACTAAGACTATCATTTTTAAAAGGTTTTAAAATTGTTATTCTATTAAAAATGATCATTTTTATATTATTACTTTTTTTTTTTTTGCTCCAGGATTTATTTCTTTTTTCTTTCAAAATTGACTTTCTTGGGGTGACATTGGCTGATAAAGTTATATAGGTCTCAGGGGGTACAATTCTACAGTACATCGCCTGTACACTGTATGTGTGTTCACCACCCCAAGCCAAGTCTCCTTCCATCATCATCTATCCCCCCTTTACTCTCCTCTGCAGACCCTCAACCCTTTTTCCCCGGTAAACACTATACTGTTTTCTGTATCTATGAGTTGTTTTTCCTTTGTTTAATCCCTTTACTTTTTCCACCCAGTCCCCAATTCCCTCCTCTCTGACAGCTGTCTGTCTGTTTTCTGTATCCCTGAGTCTGTTTCTATTTTGTGTGTTAGTTTGTTTTGTTCACTAGATTCCACATAGAAGCAAAATCATATGGTATTGGTCCTTCTGTGACTGCTGTATTGCTCAATGGAATACTACTCAGCCATGAAAAAGAAAAATGTTTCCTTTTGTTACAGCATGGATGGACCTGGAGAATACGAGTTATTTTTAACTGGATACTGTTATTAAAATCTAATGGGCGGGCCATATTGTACCAGCTGCAGGCGTGCAGCACTGACTTTCTCTTTGTGAATCTCAGGATGTGCGCCCCACGTTGACTCCAGGAACCGAGTGTCTCGTGCAAAGTTGTCACTCATGGTGGACTATCTCCCCCTTTCCACCCACCCCTCCCCCACCTCCCCTTGGGCAACCATCGTCTCTTCTTCGTGTCTCTAGGTCTGTCTTTGTTTTGTTTGTTCTGATGGTGTTAAAAGTCCACACCGACCTGAAATCTTTCTCTGTGTGAACGGTGTCTCTCAGCATAATAAGCTCTAGGTCCACCCAGGTGGTCACAAATGGAGGGACTGCCATAAAACCTTTTTTTATGGTAGATTTTCATTCCATTGAGCATACGTGCAACATCTTTCTATCCAGTTGTCTGTGGTTCTAACGATTCAATGCAATCTTTTTCTGAATTCTTGATATAATACTTCAGGCCAGTGATTGTTTAAAGTCCTTTTATTTTCTCATATATTCATTCATGAATATTACTTTTCCCATTTCATGGGTTTGATGTGTAATATTTATACGATCATTTAATCCAAAGCATTCACTTCTCTTTTGGTTCACACATTGCTTATGGAGAAGTCCATTTGCTTTCTTTCCAAAATGTGGGGGTACTGGTTATCATTGACTGAAAAATCCCAGAGGGTCCCAGGAGCCTCAGGGAATTCAGTCAGGTCTCCAGACTGCCCAGGGTCATGGCTGATTTTTCCTTGGGGGCAGCTCCTGCGCCTTCCGGGGCCCCTGCAGGCCCCTGCCCTGGAGTGTGGGGTCTGGGCCCTTCCTGGGCTAGTGGACGGCCAGAGCAGCGTACACGCTGGGCTCAGCCGGGGGCTCCTCTGACGGGGGTGCACCTGTCTCCCGTCTGAGGGTCAGGTGGGTCAGCTGGGCGTAGGTCACGTCCTGGGCCTGGAACAGGGGACAGTGAGAGGGTGAGACGTGGCTGGGGCGGGGGACGCCTGGGGGCTGGAGAGGGTGGGACCCACCTGACTATCCATCTGTCTGTCCCCTTCTGCTTGTCTGCACTTCTTGTCCCACAATCTCCACGACGAAGAAGGAGAGGAGGCCATTCCCTGCCTGAGCCTTGATCTTGAGCGGTTCACCTGGGCATATGTCACTCCCTGGGGGTCGTCACGGGGCCTGTTCTGCTGCAGAGAGACAGTGAGACAGAGACGGCATGTCCTCGATCCCACTGTTGAGTCCTCCCCTCAAGCATCCACATGGGGTCAGAGTGAGGGTTGAAACTTCGGGTCAGATGAGGTCACTGTCCTGACGGAATCTGCAGGGGCTTCCTGAGCCTTGGGGCATCTGGAAGGGTCTAGGTTTCTGACTCGTAACCTAACCCACTGTCTCTGCTCATTTGGCTCCACCCACTCGGCCCCTCTGGCTGAAGCGCATGTCCTGCCTCAGGACCTTTGCACCTGCTGTTTGCTCTCCCCCCTCACCACGCACTCCACCCCCTGCTCTTGCTTTATTCTCCTTCACAGCAGCTGGCCCTCCTGACGCCATCACCTGTGTGCAGGTGTCTCCCTCGCCCACAGGTGGGCTGGACGAGTGTGGGGACAGGCTGCTCGGGGCGGCACCGCGGCCCCTACATGGAGCCGGTGCCCAGGAGGCTCCCGTCACGGCGGCTGCGTGACTGAGTGAAGGGGCCCTGGGGCCTGGGGTGAGTCACTCATTCGCGCCTCCTCCTGAGACCTGGGGCTGCCCAAGGTCAGACAGGGGACGAGGGGCCAGCCCAGGGGACCTCCCAGGAGGGGCCATGAGGTCCCAGGAAAGGGAGGAGTGAGTCACAGCAGGAAGGCCTGGTGCCCAGAAGGAGAGGTCAGTGTGGACGCTGCTGAGAACCAGGGGAGGGGAGGACAGGGGAGGGACCATTGGAGTGAACTGGGCAACAGGAAGGAGCTTGGAGGCCTGGACAGGGGCAGGGGTCTCACCCGAGGGTCCAGCTCCACGCCCTCCCCAGCCTGTGGGTCCTTCACAGCATCATCTGCGGAGGCAGAACAGGGTGTGTCTCCTGGCAGGGTCCCCGGGATCCCAGGGCTGCAGACCCGCTGCCCCCAGATGGGCCACTCACCCAGGGTGAGGTGAGGGGCCAGGTCAGGCTGTGGGGATTTCCGTCCCCCTCCCCCCTGACCCCACACCCTCCCAGGCTGTCCCCTCCCCCGTGGCCTCCTGGAACCCCTGTGCCCCCTCCCCCAGGGCAGCGGTCCCTTCCTCTCACGGAGGGGCTCTTCCTGGGCGTCAGCCACTGAGCTGGAGGATGGACGTCAGCCTCTCCCTGGGCTTGTCCAGAGGGACAGTCTCCGCCCCGGGAGGGTAGGGTCCCCTCCCTGTGTGATTCCAGGGGAAAGAAGGAAACTTGAATATATTCTTGCACGTATGCTTCATATTTCTGAGGTTGAAAATGATGAAAGTTTACTCGACATTTATTCGTGCCTCTGTGCTGACATGAGTGATTTCTTTCCAGAATTCCTCATTGAGATTTGGGAGAAATCTGTTGCTTAACTGACCTTCCTCATCGATTTGATTTCCCTGTGGCAGGTGCCCTGAGCCCCTCTCTCCTGTGGCCCAGGTCACCCCGTCCCCTACTCACCCGACGTCCTGCCTTTGCTCTGACTCTGGTGTCGGAGGAAGGGGAAGAGGAGGAGGGCGAGTAGCAGGACGAGGGTCACCGAGACCCCGATCAGCACCTTCCAGTACCGTTTGTGACCTTGATCTGCATTGATGTCAAGAATGAGCCAAAGATGCCCTTTCATGAGCCCCTACTGTGTGCGAGGCACATGCTGGGGCCTGTGGTTCGTCTCCTCTAACCTCACAGCCCCCCTGCACCAGGGATCGCTGACCCACCGCCCAGTCCCCGGGGGCTCAGAGAGGTGAGCCGCGTGCCCCGGGGCCCCCAGCCTGGCCGGGGCAGGGCAGGGACCGGACCCCGGACGTCGGTTCCCTGTGCTGCCCCCATGCTGCCCCCTGGGGACACCAGCTCCGAGCTCTGGGCTCCTCCTCTGCAGGGGCCTGTCCTGTCCCATCTGGAGCAGAGGGTCCTGCCCTATTCCCTGCCCCCCAGCCCAGCAGGGACACGGGAGGGGCAGGGGTGTGGGGTGAACCCTGACAAACCCTTGGGAAGGTCGGGTTGGACTGAGGCTCTGCCTTCCTGAGCTCTGTGAGGCCCCTTATGTCACCTACTGTCACCGCAGGCCTGTGAGCAGGAGGCGACCAGGGATGAACAGACATGAACCCGACACTCACAGAAGAGAAGGGACCGTGGGCCCCACAGCGGGAGCCGCAGAGCCGGGACCTGAGCCAGGACTGACTCCAGCCCTGGCTCCCTCCTCTGAGCTGAGCACCTGAGCTGAGGGATAGACCTGGAGGCCCCAAACCCATGTCTTCCCTGTCCCTCCCTGTACAGTGTCACTGTCACTGCTACAGAGGGGACAGATCCCATAACATCACTTCTGGGGTGGCTTTACTATGAAGCCCCTTCTCCCAGGAGGTCACAGCCAGAGTGAAAGGAAACCTAAGCTCTGGGCCACGAGTCTCTCCGTTTACACTTGGAGACACTGAGGCACAGGGAGGGGAGGGCGTGTCCAAGTCAGAGCCTCCAGAGGAGCCTCAACTTCCAGGGACCCAGCCCCTGTCCCCTGTGGACACACCCACCATTTTTCCCCAGAGACCCTCACTCACCGCTCTGCTGGCCTGATGCTGTGGTGTTTTCTCGAATATCAGAGCCTCCTGGAATTCAGGACTGGAGTGAGCGGCAGAGGTTGCCTTCTCCCAACACCAGCCGGTTGTGCCTCCCCCAGCCGGGGTCCCTACATGTGTCCCTCTGCCATGACCACCCCCCGTCACCTGCCAGCCTCAGAGCCCTGGGGGCCCTGGGGTTCCAGCATCTCTGCCTGACTCCCAGTCCCCAGGACACATGCCCAACCTGAGTGTCTGGGGGACATGAGACCCCCAGATGGACCCCCAGAACTTCCCTGGGCGGCTCTGTGCTCCCTCTGAGCAGGGTTCTCAGACTCACCGGCTGTGGGTGGGGGACGGAGGCCCCCAGAGGGCCCTGCGATTTAGGACAGAAGTGGGTGAGGGTCTGGGACTAACCCTGGGGTCAGCAGGTCACTCAGACTCTTCCGCTACATCTGCACTGGGGTCCCCACGACACTCCCCCTGCCCACCTGCCCCCTTCCTAAGACAGGTGAGGGGGAGGGGTGGGCAGGGGTAGCAGGGTCTCCGAGGGGCAGACGCCCTCTGGGTGACCATCCCTACAGCCCCTCCCTCCTGTTTCAGCCCATAATTCTTCTGGAGAGGGGACCCTGAGCTAACAGCCCAGAATGACAGGGTCAGGGGCCTCACCTGAGACCAGGAGCTCCAGGGCGTCACTGGGCTGCGACAGCAGGTAGGGGCTGCTGTGGTTTGCGCTGTAGCACCTGTAGGTGCCCCCGTGGACGGAGGTCACGGGCCCCATGGAGAACTCTGCCTGGTGCTGCTGAGCTCGGGGCTGTGGTCTGAGCCGCAAGGGGGGATCGGCCGCCCCCTCCTTGGTCAGAAGGAAGCTGTCCCTCGGGCTCTGTGACTGACACAGCAGGGTCACCTTCTCTCCTGAGGCCACCGTGGGGCCCGGCTGCACCAAGAGGGCGGGTCTGTCAGGGAGCCATCCTAGAGAGAGCGGGCGGGTGAAGGGCTGCCGCCCACCCTGTTCTGACCTGAGAGTCACCAGGCCCCTTTCTGAGGACCCTCCCTTCTGTCTGTCTCTGTTTTCTCTGCGTCTCCCCCTCCCCCTCCCATCCCCTGTCTCTCTGTCTCTCTCCCTCCCTGGGGACCCCACAGCCCTTGTCCTGGCCATCACCACCTGAGACCCCCAGCAGGGCCTGACCAGACTCTGGGCCCTTGACTGAACCCGCTGACTCCTCACCTGCCACCAGGACGTCCAGGGGGTCACTGGGGGCCGACCACTCGGAGGAGACGCTGTGTCCCCCGTAGCACCTGTACCGGCCCCCGTGGGAGCCGCGCACCGTGTCCAGGGGGAAGTCGGCCTGAGAGAGCCCCGCCCGGGGCTGCAGGGCAGTGCTCTGGGGGGTGTCCTGTGCCCCCTCCTTGGACAGAGCGAACCTGTCATAGCCGAGGTCCGAGCGGCACTGGAGGGTCAGGCTCTGTCCAGCGGCCACGATGGGGCCCTGCTGGGTCAGGAGGGAGGGCTTCCCTGAGCCTCCTGCAGGGACCAGAGGTGAGTGACAGGTGCTGCCCGTCCCATGGACCCTCCCCCTGGTCTGTCCCCAGGCCCCACTGTCTCTCTCTGCGTCTCTGGCCCAGGAGCCCCTGTGCGCCCCTCTCCCCACCTCTCACATGGGCTCCGCTCCCAGCAAAGTCCCCAGTAACCTGGCTGGTGCTTCAATCCATGGATGGGATAATATGGGACGTACCTGAGACCACAAGCTCCAGGGGGTCACTGGGGTGAGACCACTCCAGAGGGTGCCTCCTAAAATATCCATAGCATCTGAACCTCCACCGGTGTCTGGGGGTCACGGGGCCCACAGGGAACCAGGCCTGGGACTGCCCACTGGGGTGTCGCTGTGAGTCCAGGGTCCAGGAGAGCCTGCGTTCTCCTTCCTTCGTCAGAATGAACCTGTCAAATTCCTTCCATGAGCCACACTGGAGGGTCACGTTCCCTCCTGAGGTCACGACAGGGCTGGGCAGGGCCGAGAGGCTGGGTTTGTAGTGGACCCCTAGGAGAGAAGGAGGCAGCGTGGTAAATGGGGCTCACACCTCCCTCCTGTCCCCCAGGGCTGGGCTGTGAGGGATGGACTCCCTGAGAGCATCCCCCTCCCTGACGGCAGAGCCTTGGGCAGGGACTCCTGAGTGTCCTCTCACCTGTCACCACCAGCTCCAGGGGGTCACTGTGCTGTGACCAGCCAGTGGGGCTGCGGTATTTACATAAAAATCTCCCTGCCCTGGGGACCTCCCTGAAGAACCTGGCCTTGTCCCCGGGCTCCAGCAGTTTCTGTCTGTCCAAGGGCGTATCCATGTCTTCTGTATACAGACAGTACTCCTGAGCCCTCAGGGTCCCCCGACACCAGATGGTCACAGAGCTTCTCACAGATATCACAGGATTCGGCTCAGCCCAGATGGTGGGTCTGGGGAGGGTCCCTGGAGGAATCAGAGGCGGCATGAGAAAGGCCTTCCCCACCCTCATTCCCCAGTTTGGCCCACGTCCCCCCTCTTTTCTCCCCTCAACCCAGGACCCCTTCCTCCCTCCTGAGCCGAAAGGTGAAGTAGGTGGGACAGGGACCCTGGGGAGGACTCACCGTTCTTTACACGGGTTTTCTGGTCCAGACTCAGCCCTGGAGGAGAGTCTCTGTCAGATTTGCATCTGGATGTCTTAGCTGATTCTCTTACCTCAGGGAATATTCCGCTCCAGCTGCCTGAGCCCTGAGGTTCCCCATGAACAAGCGTGTGCCTCTGCCTAGACCTTCCTGCTGCCCCGTCCCCATGTCCCCATGTCCCCACAACTGACCGAGGCAGAGAAGAGCAGGGAAGATGGACATCGTGCCGTCTGCTCTGAGTGCTCCTGCTCTGCAGCTGGATGAGACCCTGGGCCTGAAGGACAGAGACGCGCAGGATGTGGTGCGTCAGGGGCTCCCGCCGCCCTTCTCGGTTCCCATCTGTGGCCCCACAGCGAGGGGACGGCCCCGCCCTGGGCCTGCCTCTGGGTTTTTTCATGACGAGGAAGGCTCAGGAGGACTCCTCGCCCTCTGGAGATAGTGGTCCCTGGTCTGGGGTCTCTTCTCACTCCCGGGACCCTCTGCCTGGTCTGAGCTTCTGCTCAGGGAGGGCGGGACCCAGGCTCTGGTCCTCGGCCCACTGTCCACAGGCTGACTCGAAACAGAACTTGCTACTTCTTTCCTCCGCCTCCCACAATCAGCATTTAGTTTTCATCCCTGACTCGTCCATAAACAACTATTTGCTGATCACCTAGTACAGCCCAGTATTTGTGCCAGAACCAGAAATACATCCATGACCCAGGAGACTGATTTTCTGTATCCTGAGAACTCTTCTTAGCAGAAAAGGAGCGTTCTAACATGGAAATGACTTCCCTTACAAAGGAGAAATGAGTAAAAATAGGAGAACACCTGGGATCATGACTAGACTGTGGTTGAGGGAACCATTGTTTTTTTTTTTATCCTCATCAAAGGATATATTTATTCATTTTATAGACAGAGAATGGGAGACACAGGCAGACAGACATTGAGGAGAGAGAGAAACATTTATTGTTTTTTCTGTATTTTTATTGTTGACACTATTACAGACGCTCCCGTGTCCGCCCCCTCCTTTGCCTACCACCATCCAGCCCCCGCCCTCCTTCCCTCTGGCCGTCACCACACTGTTGTCTGTGTCTGTGGTCACACGTGTGTGCTCTTTGGCTGGGCCCTGCACCACCCTGCATCCAGCCCGCCCCCTCCTCTCTGGCAGCTGTCAGTCTGTGCCCTGCGTCCACGCCTCTGTTCCTGTTTAGCTCTTCTTGCTTGTGGTTGAACAGTATTCTATTCTACATATAAACCAACTCTGGAAAATTCCACAGCTCATGTCATTATTAAGGATGGTAACTCTTTAAGGTGGTGGCCCATGAGGCTGTCCTTTCAGCCACCATATGATGACAGTTCTGGGGGAAATGACGCACGTGGCGTCTGATGAAGACGGGAAGGATTGTGGAGTCCAGAGCGGGTGGCAGGCACCAGTTTATATTCCTCTTTCCAGGGTCGTATCTAATTTTGCCCAGTTATTGATTGATTGATTCCAGATTCACTCCTGTGAACTGAGGAGACGATGTCCATCGGGTCAGGTAGTCATTAGAAATAAAGAACATATTATTACATAAAAGTGGAAGAGAACATCATGTTGTAAATGTGTGCACACAAACGGCCATGTGGGAAGGACCCTCATGACTTAGGGGTGAAAAAAGAACGGGGGTCATTACAGGGAGCCAAGGGTAGAGGGAGAGAACACACAGATTTAATGGAGGAAGAGTCCTGCACAGGGAGCACTCAGACACTCCCTCACCCACACCTTGTTCAGTCCCCTGGACAAATCAGCAGAGCGTTCCCCACCTGGGGTCCAGGCTGTCCTTCACCACCTCCTGGGTCATCCCATGGGTTCCACGGCTCCCCCAGTCTGGACGGTGCTCTGTTCCCTCTGTGTTCACATCTCAGTTTCATCCTGGGTCCTTCTGTCACTGTTTAAAGTCTGAAACAGCAGGGCCTCTAACCCCATGAGCATCAGTCCAGCCAAACCCAAGCGGATGAGATTCTCCATTGTGTGGTCCTGGGGGCTGGAGGCTAGGAATTGTGGGTAAAGGGGTCACAGAAACCAGGGCAGGTGAAAGTCACCCCAGGATCCAGGATGTCCACCCAGGGCACCTGCTTCTGTCTGGCAGGACATGACCCTCTGCACCCAGCACCATAGGTGAGAGTTTCTCCTACTCCCCACCCCTGGGATCCTACTGGTTTTCTGATGGGCTGATGGTGTCGGCTGCTCCTGAGGATCATTAAACGAGGGTGTAAGTGAGGACTTGGGGAGATGTGACCTTTTTTCTGGGGTCTGTGCTCTCCGATGTCCCAACACTCAGATCATAACTTTTGCATAGTCCCTGCGTGAGCCCTGTCTCTGCTCTGCCAGGTTCCCTGTCTCCTCCTTGGATTATCTCGGCCTCTTGTGCTCTCTGAACCTGCACAGATTCACTTTGGACCAGAGTTCACTGTGCTCCAGAGCTCAGAATTATTAATAAAGTGGTCACACTGGGGAAACGGTTGAGTGCTGTGTTCTGTGTTCCCTCTGAGAGGCAGACCCCATAAGCTTATTCCCCTATAGCTGAGAGATCCCACCGGCTCAACAGCTGATGAATCAGAGTCCAAGGATTAGGGGTCGGTGTGAGGGTCTGCTGAACATCCTCCTCTGTGGAGCCTCCTAAACCCTCCCATTTATTACTGTTTCAGAGCCTGAAGCGACAGAGTCCTGAACTGAGTGAGTTCAGAGAGGACAGGGCTCCTCTCCTGTTATCTGAGACCAGGAGCTCCAGGGCTCCCCACAGCTGCAGAGAGGTGCTGAGTGAGCTGCAGCACCTGCAGTTCCTTCCATGCGCTGAAATCACAGGGCTCATGAAGAGCTCGGAGACAAGGGGGTGACCCCTTAATGGACAATGGAAAATGTCCCTTGGGCTCCGTGACTGACACATAGGGTCATCTTCTCTCCTAAACCACCATTGGGTCTGGTTGGATTGAGTGAGAGCATCTGGCATGAGCTGTCCTAGAATCAGGTGGTTGGGCTGGGCTGGGGCTCTGCCTTCCTGAGCTCTGTGAGGTCCCTCATGTCACCTAATGTCACCACAGGCCTGTGAACAGGAGGGGATCAGGGATGAACAGACATGAACCCGACAGTCAGAGAAGAGAGGGGACCATGGGCCCCACAGCGGGAGCCGCAGAGCCGGGACCTGACCCAGGACTGACTCCAGCCCTGGCTCCCTCCTCTGAGCTGAGCACCTGAGCTGAGGGAAAGGACCTGAAACCCCGAACCCTTGTCCTGTCAGTCCCTCCCTGTACAGTGTCACCATCACGGCTATAGAGGAGACAGTCCCCATAACATCATGTCCTGGGGGGCCTCCCTGTGAGACCCCCACCCAGAAAGTGTGAATCAGACAGAAAGGAAATCTAAGCTCTGAGCCACGGTTCTCTCCGTTTACACTTGGAGACACTGAGGCACAGACAGGGGAAGGGCGTGCCCAAGTCAGAGCCTCCAGAAGAGCCTCAACTTCCAGGTCCCCCGTGGACACACCCACCACCTCCCCCCAGAGACCCTCACTCACCGCTCTGCTGGCTTGACACTGTGGTGTCTTCTTGAATCTCAGAGTCTCCTGGAAATTCCAAAAGGGGGTGTAGGTTGGGGGCTGCCTTCTCCCAACTTGAGCCCTGCTGCTCCTCCCTGAGGCTGGGCCCCATCATGTCCCTCTGCCATGAGCCACACCTCTGTTACCAGCCAGCCTCAGAGCCCTGGAGGCCCTGTGTTCCCCAGCATCTCTGCCTGACTCCCAGCCCCTGGAACAAGCGCCCAACCCTGGGTGTCTGGGGGACACGAGACACCCTGACGGACCCTCAGAACTTCCCTGGGCTGCTCTGTGCTCCCTCTGAGCAGGGCTCTCAGGGACCCACTGGCTGTGGGGATGGGCACTGTGGGTGGGGGGCTGAGGCCTTCAGAGGGTCCTGGGAATGAGGACAGAGTGGGTGAGGGTCTGGGACTAACCCTGGGGTCAGCAGATCATACAGACTCTTCTGCATCTGCTCTGTGGCCCCCAAGACACTTACCCTTCCCTCCTACCACCGTCTGATCCCAGGTGAGGGGAGGATGGGCAGGACTGGATCTCTGAGGGGGCAGATCTCTGCTGGTCAACCATCACTTGGAGACCCCACTGTCATCTAACTTCAGATGTCTCCCGCGGACAGGACTCTGAGCCGACTGTGCTCCGAGAGGAAGGGGTCAGGGGTCCTCACTTGAGACTGGCAGCTCCAGGGGGTCACTGGGGTGAGACCACATCAGGGGGCTGTTCCTGTAACAGCCATAGCATCTGAACCTCCACCTGTGGCTGGGGGTCACGGGGCCCACAGAGAACAGGGCCTGGGACTGCCCACTGGGGTGAGACTGTGAGTCCAGGGTCCAGGAGAAACTGCTTTCCCCTTCCTTAATCAGAGTGAATCTGTCCAATCCTTCCTGTGAGCCACACTGGAGGGTCACATTCCCTCCTGAGGTCATGACAGGGCTGGGCAGGGCTGAGAGGCTGGGTTTGCTGTAGAGCCCTAGGAGAGAAGGAGGCAGCGTGGTAAATGGGGCTCAACCCCCCTCACATCCCCCAGGGCTGGGCTGTGAGGGGGAGGCACCCTGAGAGCATCCTCCTTCCTGAGGGCTGAGCCTGAGGCGGGGACCCACTCACCTGTCCACACCAGCTCCAAGGAGTCACTGAGCTCTGACCAGCTGGTGGGGCTGTGGTATTTACAATAATATCTCCCTGCATAGGGGTCTTTCATGGAGAAGTTGGCCTTGTCCATTGTCGCCACTGGTTTCTGTCTGTCGCAGAACATATCCACATCTTTGTTCCACAGACAGTACTCCTGAGCCTCCAGGGTCCCCTGACACCAGATGGTGACAGAGCTGTCTGAAGGGACCACTGGCCCTGGCTCAGCCCAGATGGTGGGTCTGGGGAGGGTCCCTGGAGGAATCAGAGGCTGCATTAGAAAGCTCTTCCCCACCCCTCATTCCCCAGCTCAGCCCTTGTCCCCCCTCTTTTATCCCCTCATCCCAGGACCTTTTGCCCCCTTCTGAGCCCCAGAGGTGAAGTTGGAGGTGGGACAGGGGCCTGGGGAGGACTCACCGTTCTGCTCGAGGGTTTCCTGGCCCAGACTCAGCCTTGGAAGAGTCCTTCTCAGATTTGCACCCGGGTGTAGGAGCTGATTCCCTTACCTCAGGGAATCTTCCACTCCAGCTGCCTGAGTCTGAGGTTCCCCATGAGCAAGCATGTGCAGCTGCCCCGTCCCCTCCTGCTGCCCCGTCCCCGTGTCCCCACAACTGACCAAGGGAGAGAACAGGGAGGATGGACATCGTGCTGTCTGCTCTGAGTGCTCCTGCTCTGCAGCTGGATGAGACCCTGAGCCTGAAGGACAGAGACACACAGGATGTGGTGAGTCAGGGGCGGCCGCTGCCCTTCCGGGTTTCTATCTCTGGGCCCACAGTGAGAGGACAGCCCTGTGCTGGGCCAGGCTCTGGGTTTTTCCATGACAAGGGCTCAGGAGGACTCCTCGCCCTCTGGAGATGCTCAACCCAGACCTGGGGTGTCTTCTCACTCCCAAGGCCCTCTGCCTGGTCTGAGCTCCTGCTCAGGGAGGGCGGGACCCAGGCTTAGGTCTTCCATTGACCACCAACAGATGATTATAAACAGACCTTGTTACTTATTTCTCAGGTTCCCACTAATGGTATTTAGTCTCATATCTGACTCAACCGTAAACCAGTATTTACTGATCACCTAGTACAGATGCGTATTTGTGCCAGAATCAGAAATGCTTCCATGACCCAGGAGACTGATTTTCTGTATTCTGAGAACTTTTCTTAGCAGAAAATGAATGTTCTAAGTTGAAAGTGGAAATGACTTTACTTACAAAGGAAAAATGAGAAAAAATAGGAGAACACCTGGGACCACGAGTAGACTGTGGTTGAGGCAACAGCTGTTTTTTTAAAATCCTCGTCGAAGGATATATTCATTGATTTTACAGAGAGAGGATCAGAGAGACAGGCAGACAAACATTATCAGAGCAGGAAACATAGATCCATTGCCTCCCATATGGGCTGGGATTGAGAACAAATTTATAACCGTTTGGTGAATGAGATGCCACTCCAAGGAAGTGAGCCACCCCTGAGGGCTGAAGAATGGCCATTTAGTGAGGTGGGACCATAGGAGGTGGGAGTGAGAATTTTCTTAAGAGGAAAGAATAGTATAGAGAACTCTAGGCACAGAGACTGTCTGAGAGCAGTGAAGGAGGGTGAGGTGGTGGCTGGTCATGGGTGGGGTTGCCCCATGCAAAGATGTTGGATTAAGTCTGCAAGGCAGAGGAATATATAGGAATGAGCTGTTAAGATCAGACTGAGTTCTGAATCTCTTACGGGCCATGTATTACAAAGGAACTAGAGCCATGCAATATGTGTAAGTAACACATAATGTCACCAAAATTGAACTCCAATCCTGTGTGTCCAACAATGTTAGATGAAAGTCTTTCACGGCTTTACCACAATATCCATGCATAGTTTTAGCTGTCACAACATGTGGGGAAGAGAAATGAGGGGAAGAAATCTCAGTGTTACTTATTGTCTTGTGCTTTTTGCTGGGGGCTTGGGAAGGAATTTTTAGTTCCGTAGAACTCTCAGAAAGCAGATATGGAGGAGAACAGAAATGGTCAGGGATGGTGTGAGTGTGTCTGCCTGTGTGTGTAAGTGTATGTATGTGCAAGTGTGTATGAGTGAGTGGGTGCATTACTGCGCATGTGTGTCAGTGTGGCTGTTGGTGAGTGTGTCTGTATGTGTGGATGTGAGTTTTCCATGAGTGTATAAGTGAGTGTGTTTGAGAGGCAGGTGTGAGTGTGTGAATGACTGTGTGTGTGTCAGAGAGTGTGGTTGTGTGTCCGAGTGACTGTGTGTTCACAGGGTAACTGCACCTGTCTGGTTGAGGGAGGCAGAAATGAGAGCTGAGGGTGGAGGGTCGCATGAGGATGATCCAGAACAACCTTCAACTTAGAAGAAAGAATCTCAATTAATCTTCCCCTCAATTAACCAAAAACGGCCAGGACAACATACGAGTGAAATCATATGGCATTTGTCTTTCTCTGACTCTCTGTTTCACTTAGCATAATGTTCTCCAGGTCCGTCCATACTGTCAAGAAGTGTAACATTTTGTTCATTTTTATGGCCGAGTAGAATTTCACTGTGTAAATGTCCCATAGTTTTCTCCACTCATCAACTGATGGACACTCGAGCCGCTCCATACCTTGGCAATTGTAAATAACATTGCAATGACCATACAGGTGCTTATGAATCTAATGAACAAATGGAACCAACAAGCAAAACAGAGACAGACTCATAGATGACAGCTGGTGGGAGGTGAGGGGGTAGAGGGCTTGATCCCAAAAGAAAAGGACTCATGGATATGGCAACAGTGGGGTGATTGCTGGGAGGTGAGGATATAAGGGGACTAAATGGCAATGGAAAAAATACAGTAAAGATTAAATTTATAAAGCACATTCAGAACCATGGAAAAATTTTGAGCAGAACTGACCAGATTCTGAAAGAGAGTCGGAACATGTATGACTGGCCCATGGGCATGGGCAATGGGGTGGGGGTTGTCAGTGGGAGCGGGGGTGGGCTGGGCAGAGGAGAGCAGAGGGAGAAAACAGGGCCAACTGTAATAGAACAACAATAAAATATTATTAAGAAATAAAAAGAAGAGGATTGGAAAGACTGATGTGGTGGGTGGACAAGAGAAGAGAGTGAGTGTATGGGACTCAGAACCCAGGCAGGTGGTGGATGTGACCACTACCTTGGGGGTGAGAAGGATGACCTCCCTCCCTGTCTTTTTGACTGGAGACCCCAAGGAGCCCTGGTGACAGAGAGCCAAGGGGAGGGGGAGGGACAAGCCTGGGGTCCCTGCAAACACTCTGCTCCTGCAGGACAGATCAGTGCTCCCTCCTGGCCCTGGAATGCAGGGGCTGCTTCTCACAGTGTTTCCACCCAACACTGTGTCTCTGTGGGAAGTGGGCTCTTTCTCTCTCCCTTTCCTTGGGGTAAACAATTTGATTTTTTCCCCTCTTCAGAGCACCTTTGATGCTCTGGGAGTCACTCTCCTCTTCAAACTGTGGAGTCTCTTGAGGATTGAGAAACAATCGACAATCAGCAGAGTTCTGTTTGAGGCAGAAAACATCCCACACACTTGCAATATCAGTGTTGGAATACCACATCCTGAATGGCAGAAGGACCCTGGAGCAGCCTGCTTCCTCTGTTGCTCTCACTTCCCTCAACTGTAGCCCAAAAATACCAGCCCCACCCCTATGAATGTGGTAGAATCCACGCTACTTGAGAGATGGGGGAAAGGAAACCAGCCATTCAGATTTAGGTGGAGACGTTGGAGGTTTGAGAAACGAAAATCAGAGATACCTCAGCCAATGGAGCAGAGGGGAGGATCAGACTCAGACCACAGTGCAGAGTCACCTGGTCATGACAGGCCCTCCCAGTGCTGTGGGCAGCCCCTGGCCTTAAATCACGGTTGCTAGGAGAGTTGGGGGAGTCGATGGAGGAAAATGAACTTCACACCTGCCTCACTCCACACACAAAATCGATGCTTGATGCATGGCAGACTGAAGAGGAAGTCAATTAGTTTTTCTTTAACAAAAATGTAGAAAATAACTTTTTTCTTTGTGTGAAGCTTTTAAAAAATCATTTATTATTATTCTACCAGAGTTGTCCCAATTTTTGCCTTTTGTGCTCCTTTGGGCACCGCCCCCCAGCTTCCACTGTCAAATCCCGCCCTGTTGTCCATGTCTGTGGGTCATTCATACATGTTCTTTCACTAGTCCCTTCCTCTTTTTTCCTACTATTTTCCTTCTTCTAACACCCCTCTGGTCGCTGTCCATTTGCTCCATGTTTCCATGTCTGTGATTCTATTTTGTTCGTTAGTTTATTTTTTCATTATATTCCTGTTATAGGTGAAATTCTATGGTATTTGTCTTTCACTGACTGGCTTATTTAACTTAGCATAATACTTTCCAGTTCCATTCATGCTGTCACGAAAGGTAGGAGTTCTTTTTTTCTTTCTGCTGTGTAGTATTCCAGTGTATAAATGTACACAATATTTTCATCAGCTCATTTACTGATGGCTCTTGGGCTGTTTCCACCCCTTGGCTATTGTAAATCACACTGCTATGCACAGAGGGGTGCATCATTTCCTTTGAAGTGGTGATTCGGGATTCTTAGGTATATTCCCATGGGAATGGGGTGGGATGGACGGTAGAGGACAAAGGGGGGACAGATTGGGTCAACTGTAGTAGAACAGGCATAAAATATTGAAACACACGTTAGAAAAGACAGCTAGGTGTGCTCTTGATGGGTGGAGCTGTCCAGGACCCAGTGCTGAATTCTCCACCACCTCACGGGATTCACATACAAGACAGGACAGAATCAGGGGAGATGGAGCTGGCCCACGACTGTGAGGAAAGCCTCCCAGGAACCTACACGTGCGGATTCCTGATCAAGTCAGGACAGAGTCTGGGTCAGCACGACCGCCGGACAGCAGATGAGCTGTCTTGACTTGGGGATCCTGTGATGACGAGTGTGAACGTACTTTGCGGTGTCAGGATTGGGCTGTTTTTACATTAGAAAAGGGGCAAACACTCAGTGGACCTTTTTATGACAGAGCTTGGTGATTTGTTTTTCAGTTGTTAAAGTGAAGCTGAAGAGGCAAAGTGACAGCATGTGGTAGGCTGGTGCCCACACCACAGTCTGTACAGGACACAAGGTGTCTGTCACACAGGAAGAGGACCAGCTACTCCTCACCCTAAAAATAGCAGATTCTGAAGGTTTCACTCGACCGCATTACTCAACACCCCTCATGTCTCAAGTGTCACATTTAATTTTTCCATACTCTATACTTATAGGAGGATTTTAACTGAACTTGCTGTTATTGAGAAGTCCTAATGATTATTCAGTTTACAACATTCAAATTTCCCCAGCAAAGCTAATATGCAACATAGTTAATAATATAAGACTACTTTCAGGAGAAGTATGAAATCTCTCTCGCTGAATATCTATTAGGCTTTCCACCAGATGCATATTTTTTACTCTCTTACCAAATGTAAAGCAAAGCAAACACCTCGATTCTGCTCTTCTAGAAGAGAAAAAACCTATAAAGTCTATTTTTATTGTTGTTTTATTGAAATCTTTTTTTGTGTATGAGTCAAAACTCAATTTCTTCTATGGGGGG